GTATTTTTGCACCAGACTTTGCTAGTTCAATTCTGGATGCCTCCTTGTAGATCTTGTGTTATCATCTCTTCCTGTTTTTCAGCCAATCCTTCTGGGCCAGTTGCTACCTGGCTGGCTTCACTGGAAGATGCACTGTCCAAAGTGTTGTAATCTTCTTTGACATCAACAGAGTCCTGCTCTATGACAGCTTGTCCATTGTCCACAGGCTCAACTCCATTCCCTTCCTGGTGTTGAATATTGGGAGCTCCAGTAGCTTCTTGATGAACAGTATGTTGCTCTGCTCCAAGATTTACTTGTGGCACTTGCTCCAGTCCAAGCCCAGGGGGCTGAGTGGTGTTTTTAAGTTGGCAATGGCACAAGGGACAGGTTTCTTGCACATACAGCCATTTCTTAAGGCAGCCCGCATGGAAAAAATGACCACAGGGTGTGATGATAGCCGATTTCATGTCCTGAAAGGAAGAGGCACCATTATTATGACATACTAATTAACCACAAATATATTCCCCATATATTCATCATTACAGTCAACCATCCAGCCTCTGCTGACACTTTTATTTGTCATTATTCACACATAGGCTGACTTCTTAATTTGGTGCTACCTGTATATATTGCATTTTAACTCCCATTATTTTCAATCAACAATGGGTATATTTGGGGCACCCCATGCTGAGACTGATTACTTTATATTCTCTGCCTGTGTAAAGTGTAATATCAAAAAACATGGAAGCTTAACATTTCATTCTGGGAGACACTGTTTAGATTAAATGGTTAACAACTGCAGTCTACACTGGCAAAATTATCAGGATGCTGTAATTGTAGGTATATCTTATTTGGCTTCTTAAATTTACCCTCAGTCAAAAGCAAAACATGGTTCATCTTACTTCTAGATCCATTCACAAATAAAGATGGAAAGAAGAATCTTATGTTGAGTCTAATCCGTGCTCTATCAAGCTGACTTCAATTCTCCACATTCTCATTCTATTACTCAAAAGTAGGGTCCACAGTTACATGTGTCTTGCTGGGTGTTCCAGCATTTTTCTACATGTATCGTGAGAAGAACCACTACTGTCATCTACAGTAGGGCTTTTCAACTGGTGGTACGCATACCACCTGTGGTACATTAGCATGTGGCAGGTGGTACGCGGCCCTGCCCGGCCAAGTGTAGTGGAGGAGGGAATGAGCCAGCACTTACTGTGCAGGACTTACTGTGAGAGAATCCTCCGGAGCTGCAGAGTGGCTGGGGCGAGGCAGAGGCCCCAGGCTCACTTCTGGCTCACCAGGAAGAGAAAGGAAGAAGAGGAGAGGCTATAAAAGGAGGCAGTTTGGGCGAGAGAGAGAAAAAAAGAAGCAGCCTTGGGAGGAGGTGGAGTCAGCTGTAGCTGCACCGAAGGGAAAGAAGGAGGAGGAGGGTGGGGGAGAGGAGATCAAGCAGGCCGGCCATGAGCCGATCTACAACTTCTGTGGCAGCCATCTGTGCAGGCAAGAAATGCAGCGGGGGAGGGGTTGCCCTCCACGAGGAATGAAGAAAGGCAGCATCGGCTGGAGGTGAGCAGGGAGGGAGGGAGGGAGATGGCAACGAGAAAGAGGGAGGTAGGAGCAGGAGGGAGCTATGCCTTTAAGAGAAAAGAAAAAATAGACCACAGGAAACAAACCTTTGGCTGCTGCTCCAGCTGCTCAGAGGAGATGTTTAATGGCAGAAGCGAAGTGCCATTTCAGCTGAACAACAAACCAGGAGACTGGAAGGATTCTTATGTGCTTTTGTGACTTTGAATTTCTGGGATTTGTGCAATGTGGGCATTGTGTTCTTAAGGAATGTTTGGCAATTTCTATTTGACTGATGGCTCGTGTTAGATTCTATTGCTCTGCTATTGTTAGCTGTAAGTTTTGCTGCAAGGGATTTTGAAGTATTTTTCTCCTGAATGGATTTTGCCTGTACCATTCCTTTACTTATTAATGGAACCATTTGGGGAGGCTGCCTAAGCCGGCAGCCAGTACTTACTACCTTTTTTTTTCTTCCTTAAGTGCTGGCTGCTCCTTAACTTTCTTTCTAGCTAGTAGCTAATTCTTAAAGGGGAATGTACCTTTTTAAGCTAGTCCCCTCAGCGACTTGTCTTTTCTGTCTCTGGAGGCTTTTCCTTGTTTGATAAATATATGGAAGAGGAAAGATATGGGGGGGAGGTTCAAATTCTTCCTTCAGAAGGAGATGGGAATGAGAAAGAGGGAGGCAGGGAAGGAGGGAAGGAAGTCCCGCCTTAGCACTTGGCCACCAGCAGTCCTACCATTGACTTTGCTTGTCAAAAGGTTGCAAAAGGGGATCACACGACCCTGGGACACTGTGACCATCATAAATATGAATCAGTTGCCAAGCATCCAAATATAAATCACATGACCCTGGGCATGCTGCAATGGTCATAAGTGTGAAAAATGGTTATAAGTCATTTCAGTGCAATTGCAACTTTGAACAGTTTTTTTGGGGGGGTCATCAGGTTTTTGACACCTTGCTAGGTGGTACTCGAATATTGCCATATCCTAAAAGTGGTACAATCGGTAAAAAGGTTGAAAAGCCCAGATCTAGAGCTGGGGGAGAGATAGAGATCACTATTCTAATGTACTGAGCTTCTGAGGCCATTTCAAGAATCTTCAGAATGCAAAACACTGTAAGATCATCCTTATTTATCCTTCAACTACACATCAAATTGCTGCTCAGGGTTGCATCTGCAACCCAAACTTGAAGTGCTGCTGGTTCAGAAGTGCAATATGAATCTTCCTCCAAAACCTTGATCTCACAAAGCTGCAGCAATAGTCATGACTCAGACTTTCTATCCCTTGTGGAAGATATCCTGACACCTGAACTTTTAATTTAGCCAGGATGTATGGTGTATTGCCTAAAATGCTTTTTTTTTAAAACACCATGAAGCCTGAATTCCTAAAACCTCAGATACAACTATTGCTATTCATTTGTGACTTGGATTTGTTTTTCTTAAGATTCACGTAAGAAAATACAACACATTTTGCTTCTGAAGAACCACATGGACACCAGGATATTGGTATTCAAAAACAATCCAAAGCTATAAAGAGGAAGTTTTAAAAGGAAAAACTAAGTGAGAACCAAAACATGTGAGGAATTTAAAGCATGCTACAGAAGTGCTACCTCTGTGCTTACTTTAGTTTCATTGCACAGACTGCTTAAATGGCACAATCTAATTGAGATAATTGGCCTTTTAATTTCTGGTCAACTGGTTCTCTCAAGAGGGCAGAAATAGGCCTGACTGATTGGATGGATTCTGCAACTGTCATTGGCAAGAGAGGTAGAAACTAGTAAGACTAGATAGCAAACATATAAACAAAGGAATAACCCACCATAAACGACAGACTTCAACTATAGGATGCTATAGAAAAAAGATGCTTGGATTCACCTATCAACATCTTATTTCTAGGTAACTCATTAACTTATTTCAATTGCCACCGTCAATTGAAGCCCTTAATACCAAGTTACTATTTTTTATATCATATTACATTGTTAAGTTTACATCCCACTTTTACGTTCCTCCTTTCCTGGGAGCTTAAGATGGTATATACTGCAGTGGCTCTTCCCATTTCTCTCTCTACAACCACTCTGCTTGAGCTGTGAGAAACAGAGTGATGGACTCCAAATTGAATGTGAGCATTTTAGTCCATTACACAACACTCGCCTTTAAATCAGTGTGGTTCTTTAACTACTTCTCTGCAAAATGAAAGATGTGGATACTACCTCAGCAGCCAGCCTTTCATTATTTTTTATGCCTAACGGTGACAAGGCTGGCTCAGTTAGCACTTTATGGGGCAGCTGAGCAGTAGTTTGCTTGCAAAGTTGATGCACTTCTCTGCTCCTTAAACTTTGCAGGTTAACAAGGTAAGTGATGGTCATGTGACATATAGACATTTTGGAAATGTAGGTTCCCCGTTCATATAATCTTCCACTTTTTCCTCTCCTTTACTGATTCAGCAACTGGAGAAGCTGATCCTGTGTTCTGGCACGCAACCTGCTTCTGCTCCTTTGTCAC